CCACTGGATATCCCGTGGAGATGTAGGACTAAAAGTTCTACATCTCCACGGGATCCCAGGTCTGTTTTTTGGTTGCTAAGAACGTCTGGCTCGTTAGTAAGATGGCAAAGCAATTATAAAAAGAGATAACAAAAGCAAAATAGGGAACAGAGCAAAATCAACAGGGCACGCGAGGCGTACTTCTTAGAAAGCCTCAAAGTGACGAAGCTGGTGAACATCCCTATAGCGTTGACATGTTTTAAGCGCTGGGAATTTTTAAGCAAGCAGCTGTTTTAATTCCGAATGGTGTTTATCCTACGGTGTTATAGTTGTCATTTTTGGGCTGTCTCTGCGAGTTTATATCCGACATCTCAAGACCACCTACCTCCCCAAATTTTATTTCAGTATGTCTATTCCATCGACTTAAGAATATGTCAGGATTTGCCCTGCTATAGCTGCCCACATCATCTCTCGAAGCACATTTATAAATTTATGTCAGAATAGCAAGGACGCGATTGTAGCATTGTATCTTTTTCTGTTTTTCAAACTTATCAGAAGAGTACAACCACACTGATATTATTGAATGACTATTCATACCCAGACAATTTGCACCATCTCCTGAGTATCCTTGACGACAAGTACAGTAGAATGAACCAGCGGTGTTTTTACACCGAGCGTTCACGTGGCACCTTGGTTCCTGATCTTGACATTCGTTTATGTCTGTGGAGAAATGATAGACTGATTAAGCAAGGACAAGGGTGACACCGAAGTTAACGCTTGTTCAAAAATAAATTCATATTTAACATATTATTTTGCAGCTTCCGAGACCTATTGAGCGAATCTAACTCTTTAGGAGCTGTAGTTAACTGAACATGTATGTGAGTATGAATGGGCAACTCAAGAATCTGCATGTCCTTTGTTGTGAACATCAGTAAAGTAAATTTTCTGGACCATCAGGTGATTAACATAATATAGATAGATAGAGTGGGTACTGGAATAGTGTGCGCCTGGTTAAAATTTAGTAGATATTTCTGTTCGGCGTCTTCTTACCGGCTTCAGGTAAGCTAAAACGTTCCAAAAGACTGTACTTGCACCTACACAGACGCTGGTCATTGACTTAAGTATGTGTAGACAAAATTATATTGTTAAGCTAGGATAAATCATACCCGAACAGTTCACACCATCTCCTGAATATCCTTGAAGACAAGTACAGTTGAATGAGCCCATAGTATTGTTACACTGGGCGTTGACGTGACAGTTGTGGGTGTGATTTTGACATTCGTCGACATCTGCGGAGAAATATCAACGCTCAGCGAGTCGACTATTTGGGGTGATATCCTATCGGACATCAGTTTCCCAAAATGATTCAGATGTAGATATATTAAAGTTGTTTAGGTAATGTTTCTTAAAGCTGTATTTCTACATAAATCAATATGTCTCAAAGTAAGGGACCCAAAATTTCTATTCTGTGGACTCTACATTAATATGTGTAANTCTGACGTAACAAGCGGAACAACGAAAGAGATTTCTTTTTCTGTGTTCGAATAATTAAAAAAAAAAAAAAAAAAAAAACGGTTGCAGCATTGTATTTTCTTCTGTCCTTTACTCTTCCCAAAAGGCTACACCTTAACTGATATTTACTGAATGATCATTCATACCCGAACAATTTACACCGTCTCCTGAATATCCTTGAAGACAAGTACAGTTGAATGAACCAACGGTGTTGTTACACTGGGCGTTGACGTGACAGTTGTGGGTGTGATTTTGACATTCGTCGACATCTGCAGAGAAATAACACTCAAAGAGTCGATTGTCGGGGTGATATCCTATCGGACATTGCCGGCTAAAATTACTGAGATGTGGATAAACTATAGTTGTTTAGAAAATATTCCTTAAAGAGAATCTTGGCTAAAAAGCTAGTTTTGTTCTAAATCACCGGCTGGCGTTTGTGTTAAATTGTTTCAGCGATGTGAAGTCGATAATTCACTGCCTGTTTTGAATAGTGGGCATTTCCTTTTTCCCTTCAGCTATTTGAAGATTTCAAATTAACTGCGCCCCGCAATGTTTTTGTCTGCAAAGCTTGACGGGAAATTTTGAAGTCAATGCGTGGTTGCACATCTTTGAAATACAGCATTGAGTGTATGAAGATATGTAAAAGTGCTTCTAATCGTTTATAATTCACATTCCAGATGAAGATGTTCAGTTCCAACGAGAAATCTTCCGCAGACTCCGTATTGAGATCTCTGACCGCGCAATAACGTCATAAATTACCATAAAGTAAACATGAGGACGCCCAAGTGATTTAAGCTGAAAACCAAACACTTCGTCTTCGAGCCACTTACAGAGATATGAACCTAAAAATCCCAGGACCAGTTAAAGAGAACCATTGGGTATACTTTGGAACTTGAAATGCTTTTCGGCTAAGATTCCCTTTAAGCTTTATTCTACGCAGACCCAATGAATGTCAAATAGAAGGGCAAAGTACGTAACCCAGGTGACCATTGCTTACGGGCATCTTTGTCAGGCAGAAAAAACATCAGTGTTCTATAAACGTAAAAGATACTAGAATAGTTTGCCTGGTTGTAATTTAGCAGCAATTCATTTTCGTCTTTTTGCCTGTGTTAGGTACCCAATGCAAAACCTCCCAAAAAATGTTCTTGCAGCTACGAAATCACTGGTCATTGCCTTAAGACAGTAGACAATGTAATAGATAAATCATACCCAAACAGTTCACACCATCTCCTAAATATCCTTGAAGACAAGTACAGTTGAATGAACCTATAGTATTGTTACACTGGGCGTTGACGTGACAGTTGTGGATGTGATCTTGACATTCGTCAACATCTGCGAAGAAATAACACTCAGCGGGTTGATTGTTGGGGTGATATCCTTTCGTACACAAGCTTCTCAAAATGATTCAGATGTAGATGTAACAAAGATTTAGCCAAGCCTAAAAGCGGAGCTCCTGATTGCAATAAGTTAACTAGAAAGGAAAGAAGGGATACGTTCTTCTTGGATCAGAAACTCAAAAAGTGATCAATTGTGAGCATGCCATTTATCAGCGTGTAGTGCCACAATTTTTCCGTAAAAACTGGACAAACCATACCCAATAAGCGTACGCAGTTTTTCCAAGATTGTTGAAATTACGCACACAATATATCAGGAACTTTTCAAGAGACAACTGTTCAAGGAATGTCTCGGAATAACGGGAACAAAAACGCGCCAGGGGTTAATTCGCGCCGAAATTTAGCCTTTACAAGTACCCCCTCCTTCTCCCTTCTCCCCAGAGAAATAAACTAGCTTGAGCCTGCTATCCAATGGAAAAGCAGTACCAGGGCAGCAGTCAACCTCAGTTCTAAACCTCTGCCCGTGATATGGTCACGTGATACTGATCAGCAGATACCTTGTTTGTCAGTTAACTACAACATGGATGTCCAACATCAAAGATGTACCTATGATAATTTATGGCGTATTAGATCGATGGGTCACCACGTTTTCTAAGGTCTTGGGCTCCGCTCGCGCGTCTTTAGCGCGCGGAAATATGCTAGTTGCTTAGATAATGTTTCTTATGGCTGTACTACGGAATCTCAATATGTCTTGCGTGCAAAGACAACGTGAATGAATCAGGTGACCATTTTTGGTTTATGCGCATCGTTATTTACACGAGAGCCACTTCCACGCTATGAAAATGTCAAATATACATCCTCAGCTAAGTAACCACAGTATTAGATTGAGCAGGGTTTATATTAGGTTTTCAATTATTTGTTAATAATAACTCCAAACTCCTCTCCATTCAAGCGTTTTTATCCCCTTAAACGGTGGAGGATTGTTAGCACCATGAGAAGATTACATATCCCCTGTTTTTAATTTTCCCTGTGCAAAAATAATTTTATGCAACCCTCTTCTAGCGCTAGAGCATTTTAAGTCAATCACCATACCATAGCATTCCACGCCATCACCAGAATACCCTTGAAGACAAGTACAGAGATATAATCCGATAGTGTTGTTACACCTGGCGTTGATATCGCAATTGTGTGTTTGATCCTGACATTCATCCACATCTTGGAAGAAATAACACTTCTTGGTTATTTTTTTAACGAGACCAATAATGTGGGCTCTAAATTTTTATTTCAAATACAATGTGTATTTCTTTGCTACAGTTTCTTGCCTCCTCTAGCTAAGCCGAAGCCTTCCGAAAGACTACATATGTACGGACTAAAGTGTAAACAATAGCAAAACATTGTATAATTACGCATACCCCAACACTTTACACCGTCTCCTGAGTATCCTTGAAGACAAGTACAGTTAAATGAACCAAACGTGTTGTTACACTGAGCGTCCACGTGGCAGTTGTGTTTCTGCTTTTGACATTCGTCTACGTCTGAGGAGAGGAAATAGAGAGCTGTTGCTATGACGAAAGCGACTCAGAGGACAACTACAGTCGAACCCCTACTGAGCGGCCATCTATTAAACGGCCACCTCTATTAGGCGGCCAGCAATCAAAGTCCCAATGATGGCTTTTCTATTGTTTTTACCTCTATTAAGCGGCCAACCGCTTTTAAGCGGCCACAGTCCATTTCCCCGAGGGTGGCCGTTTAATAGCGTTTCGACTGTAATTGACACTTGCGCTTGATTTGGCATGAAATAAGACTGCAAGTAACAAAATTCGTCATTTAAAATCAGCTGATCTATTTTTTGGCAGTATAAATGAAGTATTTATTGTTGTTGTTGTTGTTATTATTATTATTGTTATTATTATTATTA